GTGATGAAAATTACAGGCCTCTCTCATCTTTTTAAGTGGGAGAACTTGCACAATTGGTGGCTGACTAAATACTTTTTTGCCCCACTGTAAACTGAGAAACTAAGATTTTCAAGCCCAATTCCAATTCCCAAATGATATACGGGGTATGTTTTGGCTAAGAATTCCAGGAATTGTGCCCGCAAGTCAGGTGGAGGGCATCAGACTGGGGAAGGCTGGATTAAAAGTGCTGGAACTTAATTGGACAGTAGATTTTTTAAAAATACCATTTTAAAAATTGAGAGAGAAAGAGGGAAGGTATTTTGCCAGTGTAATTGATTTTAGACACCTTAAAAAGGCTATTTAATGTTTTTCCTGAATTTGTTGAGAGCTTTAATCACTACTACTCTTATGGCTCCTGTTCCTACTCCAGGTCCCACTTCTTCTGAAGTAGTCCAGTACAAACTGGGTTTGAACATCATGACAAACCAGTAGCCCTTGCAACAAATCAGATTATTTTGTAGTTGAGAATGAGTGGGTGGTTAGAGCTTGTCTATCTATCTCTCACCATCTTTCTCTTGGCAGCTTGGTCGTAGGTGGAATGGAACAGTCATGAATGGTGATGCCCTTTGTCAAGAACCTCCCTCCCAGCTTCCTGACTGGAGGGAATTCTGTGAGCTCCATGCCCAGGCTGCTGCAGTGGACTTTGCTCAGAAGTTCTGCCAATTCCTGAAGGAAAATCCCCACTACGACACCCCTGGGGCAGAGACCTCCTTCTCTCATCATTTTGCAGCAAATTTCTTGGACATCTTCAGCCTCGAGGTCAACAGGGTGTTTGTATCCAACTCCCCTACTAAATATAACATTGTGCCATTTGTGGGCCTTCAGAACTGCCACATGCCTTATGGACGGGATCTCTTGCCAAGGAAAGAACAGACTTCCGTGGAATCTCTAGATAGTATGGACCACACACTCACCTCCACCAGGTATTTAAGTCAAACTCAACAGGTTCAGGCAAGAAAAGTCTCCTCCTATGGCCAGTCCCGAAGCTCAGAAGATGTCTCTGTTCACAGTACCTCTAAGACAAAATTCAAGAAAGGTTTTTCTCTGAGGAACATGAGCTTGTGTGTGGTGGATGGCATGAAGGAGATGTGGCATCGGCGGTCTTCTCCAGAGCCAGGCGCAGAAGCCATGCAAAACAAACAGTCTGACAGGGAACACTGTCCTCCTGGTAGCAAAGAACATAGTGATTCCAGAGAGAAATGGACCCACAAGCTCTGGCTTTCAAAGGGGCAATCTTCTAAAGTGGATTTAGTGGACATTCAGAGAGAGGGAACCCTCCGCTACATGGTTGCTGATGATACAAACTGTGTGGGTAGCTCTCAGTGGCAAAAGTGCCGTTTGCTGCTAAGGAAAGCAATAAAGATAGAGGGGGAAAGGTTCCTTCTAGAGTTCTACGTTCCTCCTAAGGTAACAATCTTCATTACTGAAAGTTTCTTCTCATGTAGTTTTTCTAGTTACTCGGTTTTTTGCTGGTAGTCATAGAGAAGCCAGCTGATTAAAATGTACAGAACAGTGGAGAATCAAACACTCCTTCATGTGGTCAACTTCCATTGAGAAGTGAGGTTCAGGAGTTCCTTTTATCTGATATCTGCAGGAATATAAACTACTGTTTCAACATATGTAAGGCTTGCGCATACCTAAGTCAGGAATTAAGTTGATGGTAAAGTGCCTCATGTCATGGATATACAGATGTGAAATCTACTGTTACATGATATGTGTGTGCTTAGAGGCACTTGTTCAACAGCTGAGGGACATGTTCTGAATCAACTATCACTTTGGATAACTTTTCAAAGGCATCCCAACTTCCAGGGTATTCCTGATATAATGTAGCTGAAGTATGAATGATAGAAATAAGAGTTGTAATGTAATATTAACATGTGGGCAATCTTTGCCATTTTTTTTTCTTCTATCCTTTACTTTAAAAATCAGGTTGTGGGGAAATGTTTTGCTATTCCCATGATTAAAATTAAGTAGGCCTTGATCTCTGTGGCTCAGATGATATATTTATTCTGCAGGGGACCAGGTAGCTACTCACATCTCAGCCATTCTATATCTAGTACCTCCATCTGAGCACTCTTAATTTAGTTGTTCATTATTTCAGCACCCGTAAGATTCTTGGATGACTTGACTGTTCTGTGATCGATAATGCCAGCCTTTGCTCTTTGGAGCCCTGCATAGTCTTGGCAACTTCCAGTTTGTTGTCCATGAAATTAGTAAGAGCTGTATCAGATGCTTCCTTCTCAAGCTGCTTTGGCGTGCAGCTCTTCCAGATGTCAGCGTTCAAAAATAGTGCAGAGTGGAACCTGAGAGGTCTTGAGCTTCATGAGATGATTAATGTTGATTTTTTTGCGAGCCATATGGATACTTTGTGCAGATCCTGGATGATAGCTGAATACTTCTTTCATGGTAAAATGGAGTAGTGGTTATTTTTTTCCTCAGTTTCTCTGTAGCAATTCTGAATCTGCTTTATTTTCATGTTTCACTGCAGTTATATATGGCTTGTATGGGATATATGGTCAGGATGGGATAACCTCTTTTATTAGCAATTTAATGTTGCATCTGAATCTTAACCTGGTTGGTAAAGCTAATTTTTTTAGAAAACCACAGTTGAGACTTCACTGCACCAAGTCTTCTCCATTCAGGTGCTTTCCACACAACCTCCAGAATTCCCCACCAGCATTTGATCATGCTTGCTAGAAATTCTGGGGCTGTAGTACTAATCCATCTGGAGGTCACCAGGTTGGAAAAGATTAAACAGTCTGCTATCTGTTGGCAGAAAAGATGACTGTAGCTCTCAAGAACAAAATGAAATGAAGCAAAGCAGATTCCTAAGTTGCAAGCAAAATTGTTCCATCTCTTCCTTGCAGTGGCTTTGGAGGAGGAGAGGGGAGTAGAGAACATATGAGCTCAGGGCTCCCCTAGGCTCATTCCTACAATGATCAAATGATTGTTTTTTACTTTCAAATACATCTTCCTTGTTTCTGTGTAATTATATGTACTGAATCAGATTATGGGTCCATCAAGCACAATATTGACTAGGTGGCTCTCCAGGCTATTTCTGGCAAGAAGTGAATTAGCAACTTCCCTGATCTAAATAATTTCCATTAGCATTTCTAGTGGGGTCCACCTGGGATCTTCTGCATGTAAAACTTAGACTCTACCATTTCTTGGGACAACCTGAGGTACTGTATTTGTGAGTAGGTTATTTGATGCATTCAACCTAGTAATATCTGCTGCAGTACTTGTAGCTCTCCAAAGCATAAGGCAAAAGTTTTCTTCAGCTTTGCTGCCCGAAATTCTTATTATTATAGAAGCATTAAGTTCGGGACTTTGAGTGTGCAAAGCAAGTGCTTTAATATAGAATATGACTTTTTTTCATTATGCAGTGGCCAGACCATTGGAAGCTGGCATATAAAAGCAAACTTATTCTAGCCATTTCCCAGATTTACCCATGTGGTGCTTCTGTTGAATATTCTCCTATTTTATCTTTGCATTCCTTGTGTTATTTACTTATGAATGAATTTGAATTTGTTATGGCCGCCTATTACAGTATACTCTGGACGGCTTACAAAATCATAATAACACTGTTTAAACAGTTAAAAGCATAAAAACATAAAATAGAATGTGACTGCCCAGACTAAAAACAACCATAACAATAAAAATATGTCAGGGCCCTCACAAATACATTAATCCTAGGCCTGGGAACAAAGCCAGGTCTGAAGGGTTTTCTGGAACCCCAGGAACGTGGACGCCATCTGTATCTCTGGGGGGATACTGTTCCAGAGGGCAGGGCTGTGACAGAGAAGGCACATTTTTTTGGTCCTACATGATGACAGTGTTTAATCTAGGGGACCTGGAGTGCACCCACTCTGCCCAAATGTACCAGGTGGGCAGAAACAATTGAAGATAGGTGGCCCCTCAGGTAACCAGGCCCTATGCCTTGAAGAGCTTTATAGGTAACAACCAGCCCCTTGAATTGCACCCAGAAGTTAACTGGCAGCCAATGCAGCTTGTATAGCAGCGGTGCCAAATGGGCATAGTGTGAGGTGCCTGTGATTGCTCGTGTTGCTGCATTTTGAACCAGCTTAGCTTCTGGATGGTCTTCAAGGACAGCCCCATGTAGAGCAAATTGCAATAGTTCAATTGTAAGTTGACCAGGGCGTGAGTGATTGCATTCTTGCATAGCAATGTGTCTATATACACATTCTACCTTCTTAATTGATTGTTTCTTTTTAAAGGTTTGGGAAATGATGATTGATAAAATACCTTGTTTATTCTTCCCTTTTCCCCTTGTGGCATCTTCTCTCAAAATTGTTCTCTTTTACATGCCTTATAAGGCACTTTTCCTCTGAGTGTCTGCTCTGAGGATTGGGAAAGGTACAGTGTATTCTAGCAATATAAATTGATACTAAGCAGATTGGGATTCAAGGTTCTTGGGAACCATAAGCTAGTAAATTACAAATATCACTGAATTAAAATACTGCCATGTTCTTTTTCTCTGAGAGAGAGAGAGAGAGAGATTTATTTTATTAAACTTTTTTTAAAAAAAGATATATAACTGGAAGGGGAACCCTCCTCCCCCAAAAAGGAAAAAGAAAAGAATCATGTGAATAAATAAGGGATTTACAAGCGTGATAAAACTGCAGTTTTTCAATGAATATATGAAGGTAACTGAATATACCATATACTATATAATTTAAAAACCTGAAAATAACCACTGACCTCCACGCAGATTACAAATAACAGGAGCAATGAACAGCATGGTATGAATCAAAATTTCAATCAAAATGAAATTATGATCTGCAGTAAAGCCCACCCAATATCTGAAACAGGAGAAGCTAACTTAAAGCGATGCATAAATAGAGTAGTGGAGTGGATGATGGTCAGTAAGCTGAAGCTGAATCTAGTAGTGTTTCTAGATTCAAGAACTGGAGGAATTGCCTGCTCTGAATGAGACTGCATTGTTTTTGAAGGAACAGGTCCACAGTTTGGGGGTGCTCTAAGATCCATCCTTGTTACTGAACCCTTAGATCACCTGTGGTTAGGAGCAGTTACTATCAAAGTAGACTGCAGTACCTATTTGTGGATAGTTTGGCCATTGTGATTCATGCATTGATAAAATGACATTTCTGCATTTGGAGCTGTTTTGGGGACTGCTCCAGAATCTACAATTGGTGCAGAATGCTGGGGCTAAGTTATTTTCTGGAGCATCTTATTGTATACATATTGCATTTGTTCTAAAAGATCTGCACTGGTTGCCAGTCTGTTACCAAGACAGATTCATGGTGTGGGTTTAGTATGCAGAGCTCTAAAGAGTTAGGGATCACATTACCGTAAAAAAGCCTTGAATCAAATCAGCCTTGTAGGCATCTAGGAATTTCCCAGGAAGCCCTGATGCCAGTAGTACAAATGGCTATTTAGTGAAACGGAGATCTGTGGAGGATCTGTGGTGGATCTCAGTCTGTGCAGTGGCTTTTGCTCTGTGGTACACCAAACCTCAACACTGACTTCATTAAAGTGTATTTTAAAAATTGGCCTTTTTATGTTAGCCTTTCCCAGCTTTTAATTTCTCTTAAAACTTGCATGAGAATAAAGTATCTTTCTTTGGCTTTACTTTCTAATTGCTTTTACATGCTGTTTTTATGATTATTGTAAACTAATTTGGATTTTCTGTAATTATGTACAAATACTTTAAATAAATGAGAAAGCATCTTGGGAGAAAACCTGGCTGGATAGCATCCTCAATAGGACAATCCACACAGCAGTGCTTAGTATTGATTTCACATTATTAATTAATATTAATTCTGGATAGTTGTTGTTTGTTTGTTACTATTGTTCTTTCCAGTTTGTCATTATTGTTGTTACTTGGGTTTTATTGGTTATATTGAATTTTCTATTTTGATGATACTGTTGGCCAGTTAAATGGTGAAAAAGCAACTCAGTCTATACCCTTTCTTTCAGATACTGAGATTTCTTATGAAAATTGCAAAGATTGGTAGGCAACTTTGGAAGGGGGCACGGGGGTCAATTTTTCTAGCCCCCATGCATGTAACATGGCTCATTCAAACCATGGTTAGTATTTGAAACGATCAGATGAATGAAGGTTGCAGTAAAAACTGCAGTAAAGCTAACAAGTGAAAATATAATCCCGAATATTTCTGGATTTCATTATACTGGCTTTCCCCACTCACTTTTGTTTGCTGAACAACTGGTGCTCGGGGTCCTCCAAAAATGGAGAAAAGAATTACAGAGATGTAGGATGCAATGAAAAAAAGAATAGAGGATGAGAGATATTTTTAAAATATTTTAAAAACTGGAAAGTATAGAAAGATCATCCTTGGAATGGCAGGGTACAATACCTGTTGAAGTATTGTCTCCTTCCTTTCCTCCTCATTCTGGTGTTATTAGTCATTGGGATAACTATGCATCTTCCCTTCCTCTGATCCACCGCAAATGCCTTTAAGCCAGTGATCCAGCTCCTATCATTTCAGCAAGGGTCTTTTACTGACGCATTTGACGCATCTCTGCTCCACAGTAAATCTGCCTTAGAAATCTCTGTGACTAAAGGGATGAGGTACATTTTCTTGTTGACAGAAAAAGAAGAGTGCTCTCACAATAGTTGTGTACTGTGGACCCTAAGTGGAAGGGTTGGGAATATCTGGAGCTTTGGGAAACTACGGGAGTGTTACTGCAAATAAACCACCATCCCACCTCACATTGGTGCTTCTCGCTTAGAAGCAAATGAACAAATGTGAAACACAGAATGTTGCACGCCAGCAGTTTCCAAGGTCAAGGCCCTATGTGTTAAAGATGTCAAGAAAGGCTCATGTTGCCAGTCAGTCTAGAATGCATGTTGAGTTACACAGGTGTTATCAGGGCAGTTGCCAAAGGTCTCCCTCCCATAAAAGTTGACTCGGTAGCATGACTTGCTTGAAAGAAGCTTCCTATGTTCCAGAGTTGTTTCTGTTCCTTTTCTGTCATGCACTTGCCAACTGTGGGTATAGAGGAACAACCCTACGACTGGAGGGCTTTGATGCCACTGAGCTGTGAAGTGCGCTTCCTTTTTGGATTTGCAAAACTCTTGCTAGGCCAGCTGTCCAAGCAGCTGAGTGTGAAACATATCGTAAGCAGTTTGAGGGTTGCAGCCTGGGTGAGTGGATAGAAATGCTGAACTCAACAGTCTTATATGAGCGCCTTCTTCGTGCCGTGGTGATCTCTGAAAATTGAGCCAAGGGGAATTTGCAAGTATGAGCATACCGGACAAGGGTGCATGGAAAATCCCATTCAGGTGAACTCCTTTTATGGCACCAAACAAGCAAGAGATCTTGTTTCCATTCCCTCCCCTTCTGAGCCTTTCCTTACTCCCCAAGAAAGGCCAAGTTGTAGTTGGAAAGAGTGGTTTCTTCAGGCAGGTTCAGGATAATGTTTAATTTATTCTAGAAAATAAGTCTGTATAAATATGTCCTTACACTGCCCTGCATTTTCATAGATAGTAGAGAATTATAGAGTAAATATGAATAAAACCAATAAACAGTGTGGAAACAATTTAAATCCAGCAGAGCAGATGAAAGAAATTGCTTTTAAAATGTGTGGGTGAATGTATAAATCTCAGTGGTCCCAGAAAGATTATGAGGTCAACACCACTTTTATTTCTCTCAGGAGAGAATCCCAAAGTTAGGAGACCATCACAGAGAAGTTACCCCATTAAAAACTCTTCCCTAACAAGCAACTGTCATCACACAGATGCTTCTCTTCTGATGCAGAAGGAGGCAGCGCTGTTCTTCTCCTTGCCTCCACTTCTCCACATTGCACCATTCAAGGCACGCAATTTCCTGCCACCTTTGGCCAGGAAGTCAGTTACAGTAGGTGTGTTAAGTTTCCATTAGACTTAATTCACCAGAAACAGTTTGGGGGAAAATAGTTCCTATCTTTGCTTACTAAAAAGATATCATTACATTATGGCTGGGCCCTGTGGCCCTGAATACAATATAAAATATAAAATCATTTATCCCTGGCCACAAAAATGTTCTCACCTCTGCTTTGGTATGATGTGGGGACTTTTCCTCTAGTAACTCACTGCTAAGAATGCAGCTTGCCCCTGTTTAAAGGACATGCTGAATTGTACTGATCGAATATATTTTTAAAAAAAGTAGATGTCAAGGATTAAGCCCTAGCGCAGATTATATCAATCCTTTGAGGTAGACCAGGATAGGAAATCAACACCACAGGAAATACTAGAACTCTATTTTATTGATGTAGGCTACAACAACAGAATCTTGAAATATGATCATGTTTCCTCTTCCCTCTCTCTTACATTAAAGAGAGTTGAGGTGGGACAATCCTGAGTTTTTTTTCCCCATGCCTTCCTGTTTTCCCGAGCTAAGTTCCTATTTTTCTAGTAGCTGCCACATACAAGTAGTTCTTAACTTAGGACTATTCATGACAGTGCTGAAAAAAGTGACTTACCATTGCAGCTTCTCTGCAGTCATGTGATCAGAATTCGGGCACTTGGCAACTGGCATGTATTTACAACAGTTGCAGTGTCCTGGGGTCACATGATCACCATTTGCAACCTTCCCAGCTGGCTTCCAACAAGCAAAATCAATGGGGAACCGTGTGATTTGCTTGATGACCGCATGATTCGCTTAATGACCACATGATTCACTTAACCACAGTGATTCGCTTAACGACCACTGCAAAAAATGTAAAATTGGGTGCGGTCACGTGATGCCTCATTTAATGACCGCACTGCTTAACAATGAATTTTCTGGTCCCTATTGTAGTTGTAAGTCGAGGACTACCTCTACCTTATTCAAGGCTATCTCCATACTCCTCCCCAGATTAAGATCTACTCCTGCACTTGTTTCTGTGAAATGGGATGTGTTGTATTCTTCCTGTGGAGAAATAGCATGAAGTATGATGTAGTGTACGCCATATTCCAGTATGAACAACACAGAAAACTTCAGTATTTTAGAAGCGTTAATATATTTTAGAATTCCATTTACTGTATTAATTACCTTATTGTATCAATTCTGCAAGAGTGGATTATAGAGTTTCTCATTCAAGCAGGTTGAGTTAAAAAGCAGAAAAGGGGGGAAATTGTTGAACTAGAATAAAGTTTAGTGAATGCTATCCCCTTTTTTCTTAGGCCTTCATCTCTGGCCTAATTAACTGATCTGCTGATTTGGCTTAACTGGCAATTTCCAGCATTAAGAAACATAGTTATTTTGAGCATGGGAACAGAGAAACAATTAAGTGAGCAATCATAACTGCTATAAACAATTATTAACGGTTACAAGTTACCGCTAGGATACTGAATAATATGGCAATATCACTTCCTGTTTAGACTGGATAAATATTTTGCCTTTATTTGTATCCTTTTGGAAATTCCCATTGAGAAGATCTCCCTACTTGCAAGAATAAAAGATCTGCTTGTGCCTTCTGAGGTTCTTTGGCTCCAATCTCTTCAACCCTTTTGTGTCGTGGACTCGCAATCTACATACCTTTTGTTTTAAAAAGTGTATTATTCAAAGAGCTTGACGTGGAATTCATTTGTGCGTATAATCTACCGGGAAGTGCACCATCTGAGCCATTTTATTTATAACAGCAGCTTTCTTGTCTTTATCAAACCCTTTAACTTTAGCTTTCTTTGGCTCTTTCATAGCTCGCTCTGCTTTAATTATTATTTTTAAAATAGAAATTGAAAGTAATTACATTCTGTTTATCCACATCAAGATTTTATTTTTGAAAGAAAGAAAATTAGGGAAGGTGGATGCTGAAGCCATAATACAACACTGTGCTGAGATATGAAAATTAAATATATTAACTTCTATTTCCCACTGGATACCATGTTTTTAATTAAAAGCATTTGGAGTTACTGGAAAGCACAAGGGAAGTGATATGTTTTAATAATGGCACAGGCCAGTATAAAATTTGCATTCTTTTTAACTGCCTTGGTATGCTTCAGAGCAAACTTTTAGTTTTTGTCATTAGGTTTTCTTTAAATCTCTTGGTATCTGTTTGGCCTTTCAGGCTTCCAAAGCAAAGGTCAGCATACCTCTCTCTGCTATTATTGAGGTCCGCACAACCATGCCGTTGGAGATGCCAGACAAGGACAACACCTTTGTGCTGAAGGTAAGGCAGCGTGGCCTGCAAAGCATCTCAGAATATGTGTGTTCCATGTGTTCCAAATGACCCATTCTACAAACAAGTAGCAGGAGCATCTTGGAGATCTTGGTCGACTTAGGTCTGGTGAGATTAAAAAACCCTGTGCAAAAGCTGAGCTTTCTTCATATGCCCCAGTAACGTTGCTGTAGGTCCAGTGGCTCATATCGGGAACTGTCATGATGGCTGATTTTTAATTGTGGGTCTTTTGAAAGCACTGTTTCATCTTCCTGCAGAGTGGATTGATAACGAAGACCAAGTATAGGACAAAGTCTGAATAAGGAGTATACAATTCCAGCAAACTGAAGGGCTGTAAAGCAGGGGAATAAAATAGGAGTGTGATGAAACGGGAAGAATGTTTGGTTTTGAATCTAGAACAGATCATTGGGTTCTGGACGTTCTGCCAAGCAGTTTCCTATCAGCCATGGTTCAGCAGAACCTAAACCCAGATCATGGAATGGATCTTGCCACTACCATTCAACCGTGAATGTCCCCACTCTTCCTTTTGCTGCAAAGAGGTTTCTTTCCCATAGAATAGTTTTCTTCGGAGTGTGTGCTGTGTCAGAAGGAGCATTGGTTTATAGGTACTGTAGTCCACTTTCAGCATAAAAATCCAGTCTTGGGATGCCCTTCCTGTAAGTCCTTTGCTCCAGCCCCTCCTGAAGAAGAAATTGCCCATGCTTCTCAACCTAGGACTAGAAATAAAAAGAACTCTGAGATTTCTGAGTTGTCTTCTCACTTGTATTGTCTTTACTTCGTTGTGCTTGCATGGAGCTGCTGAATACACAATAGAGTCTGTGGGCTTATATTTGGAAAAACTATAGATTAGGGTTCCTCAACCTCAGCAACTTTAAGATGTGTGGACTTCAACTCCCAGAATTCCCCAGCCCACTGGGTGGGGGATTCCTGGGGGGGTAAGCCTTCCCATTTTAAATTTCCTGGGGTGAGGGAACCCTATCTATAAGTTTTTCCAATATAAAACCACA